TGGTCGATTTTAGAGATTCATGTAAGAAGTCGATTTCCGCCGCCATCATCTCTAAAAGAACTGGTGGGTGTTTTAACTGAAGAATGGGCTAAAATTCCTTTGTAAACAATTCACAATTTGTATGAATCCATACCTCGGAGAATTGAGGCTGTAATTGCCTCAAAAGGTGGACCTACACCATATTAAAATATATTTTGTTGATTTTCCAAGGTGTTTCCATTATTTTGTCCAACCCCTGTATATATATACATATTAAAGAACATGTTTCATGTTTGCAATTATTCTTGAAAACAGAAAAAAAAACAGGAACCGTCTTGAGAAATGTAATGGAATTGTGACAAAGTTTTCTAGACAATCTAGTTTTATGCATTTTCAAAAATATGATAAATAAAGCAAGATTTTACAAATTGCGACCTTTAAAGCTGATCGACTCTATTTATATTTAGTAATGATATCAAAATTGTTCGGTGTGTTGGATCGTTGACGCTTTCTTTTGCTAAGTGAAGTTAACAATGGAGCTAACTTTTCACCTTCTCTTTAAATCATTAATCTGTTGAAAATGTTTTACGAAATTTCTAGGTGAGAAGCCGTTAGAAACAGAATGTAAATTAAAGTTTAACATGATTTACATTATTTAATTTGCGTAAAAATACATTTAAATAAAAATAATGTTGAATTCAGAACCAGCATAACCAATACTCTGCAAAGTTACAGATGAATTTAATTTAGTAGTAATAAACTAAAATTAGTAAATCGAGGATTTGTTTGCTTCAGAGCAGTGTGCTGTGTCCACTGCGGGGGAATCGAACCTCGGATTTTAGCGTTCTAAATTTACCGCTGTTGCACCCGCGAACAGTAAATCGAGTGTAGAATAAGTTAATGAAGGTCAATCAATATTATAAAATTTTAAAGAATCTCACATAACAATTACCATACAAGCTAACAAATGGAGAAGAAAATTTAATAATTTTAACGGTAACATATTTCTATTATTTTATTCTTTAAATAAAATATGTATTTATTTCTAAATTTTGTTGAATAAAAAATAATTTAGAGTATCAATGAAGTCAAACTATGGGTTACGGAAATGACAAAGTTTAGCCTTCCGGTTTAAAGTATATTTTGTATATTTTACAAATATTTCGAAATATATTGGCCAATATTATAATAGCTTGAAGAAACACTCTAGCGAAATGGACGCAGAAATATCTTTTAAATTTTTAACAGTATTTTATTTCGATAGCGCTTATTTTTCTCTGTAAATGTCCATAACTTTCAACTTAAACATAATACTTGCAAAAACTTACTTCAATGAGATTATTAACGACCTGCAATCCCGTGTTCATTCAACTCCTAGTGCAAAGCGTTACTGCGAGCATTTCACATGATACAAGCATTAATAGAATGCCACATGTGGTAATGAAGTTTTATTTTATAACAGAGACTAAAGTCTATGTTTTAATAATAGAAAATTAATTACTCATGTAGCAATATTACACTCAGAAACTCTACTTTTGTTGTTGTTCAAAACACGATGCCTGCAAAATAGAGACGTCAACACTTTTGTAAAATATCTAGAATGATCGATTTGTTGAAATATAGAAATTAAGAATAAGATGCTTTGAAAATTACTTAAATGACGTTACTGAACATTCGTAAGTTCCACTCTTACCTACATCAATATTTTGTTTGGAATTAAGCACAAAGCTACACAATGGGCTATCTGTGCTCTGCCCACCACGGGTATCGAAACCCGTTTTCTAGCGTTGTAAGTCCGCAGACATATCGCTGTGCCACTGGAGGACATCTTGTTGTCAATTTAATTCGAACTCTAATGCAAAGCATTATAACACGCGTTTCACATGGCACAAACAATAACATATATCCGCATGTTTTAACTATTCATTATTTTAGGCCTGTTACGTATTTTTCGCTCATAATGGTATGACAATAAGTTTGAAGGCTTATAACGAGAAAATTCCAGATGCGAACCCTGCGGTACCATAGAGTAGGTACGTTATAGTGCAGCTTACCGTATAA